GCCCAAATAAATGAAGTCTGTTACTGCTTCCATTTCTACCCCTTCTATTTGCCAGGAATTGATGGGTCCAGATGCCATGATTCTTCCATTTGATATTTCCTTTAATCATATCCTAATCATTTTTTTAAAATGGCTTAATGCTATTGATAGACATTATCAGTTTCTTTGGAAATAATGATGACAAGGGCAAACCTGTGGTATGTATGTATGTATGTATGTATGTATTTATCAATCATATTTGCATATGTTAGGCAGCCATTACAGCAAAAGATCTTTGAGTAAGAACACAAATATTCTTTTCTTTCTCGTGTGCAGCTTGTGCTGCTTAAGCACATTTTGTGGGAGTAAAATGAAATAGCTGAATTGATATCATCGCGAGACAGGTTATCCCGTTGTAAGAAAAAGGCAGGGATTTATGTTGGTTTAGAAAGAGTCTATAGCTGTGCAATACAGGGCAAGCTTTCTATGCGTTTGTGGACAAAGATACTCTTCTTAAATATTCTAAAGGTAAAGATTCTAAGAAACGTTTGCACGGATCCCTGAGAGCACGGGTGCAGGCACGGACTTATGAGTAGGCTACTGCCTATTGCCTTCAACAAGCAAATCTTAACTCTATTAGTGCATCGTGATCCTAACGCATGATAAATATTACAGAGTTGCTTCCAATGAAGCCACTTGGCTGGCTTTGCTAATGCATTTTGAAGAACTAGGGATAAAATGGACAGCCTTCATATTGAGAACTTTAAAATGGAAAAATGAAACAACATTCCTGAGCATTACTCCTCCACTTAAGGCTGGTCAGTAGCTGAAATAAAGTACTTTGAGCTTTTCCCCCTCTCACCTAATGCTTTGTGTTGCAAGATCCTAGATCTCTTGTTTTCCAGTACTAAATACATGTTAACCGTCTTGAGGCTGAGTAATCAAGGCTGAACAATACTTTTAAAACAGCATTTGCTGTTCACTTGGCATTCGTCCCTCCTGTTGTTCACTAGAAATCATGGAATTCCCATAATAAATGATTGATGAAAACCTTGCTAGATTTGGCTTTGGAATACCCAAAGACAAAAACATGTTCTTCCTGCTGTGGCAATACCATGTCCTTTTGCTTTTGCTTCAACCTAGTAGGAGTAGGAGTATTTAAGCATATGTACTCGTGGAGCAGCCAGAGGCACCTGCAGGGGGGTTCAGGAAGGTAAAATGGTGTCCCAACCATGCAGTCAGAGCACCATCGTGCTTTTTAATGTGTGCTGCACAGCACATGTAAAAAAAATGGCAGGCTTCAGTTGCACAGTGGCCAACAGCTTCTTCACTTTTTTGAACCCCAGATGGATGTTCCTGGGAGCAGGCAGGAAAGAAGGTTGTAAAAGAAAAGCAAATCTAATTGCTCAGATAACTGAATATATACGGTCAAGAGGCAGGGTCACCCGAGCCATTTTATTTGTACTGGAAGCCTTTTTCTTGCTGCTGTTCAGCTCATTCTCATCATTGGTACTGCAGCTGAATGGCAGCCTAACACCTCTCCTGTTGTAGGCACTCTCGGTGTTTAGGGCAAGAACGACTTAGTGCAAGACTAGCTTTCCCGATTCTGTCTTTTAATTCCTTGCATGTATAGAAATGTTTGTGCTCTACAACTGTATTGTCTTGATAAGGCTTGTACTTTCCCCCACTTTCCTGTTTATAAAAACAAATATAGCTCTTTAGAGCAACAGCTTGTATTACGTACAAGGCTGCAGAATTGCAAAAGCAGTTTCCCTCAAATGAAAGTTCCCATAAACTATTGCCCAAATTATATTTGGAGGCCCCAGTAAATTTACATTGCTTTCAGAATAGGGGCACATAGATAATTCTTTATCGGTTTGATCATTTTGTTATGAAAGTGTCAGGGACAGTAATTAAAATTTCTGAATATGGGGATGTTAGAAAGTTCTCTTAAAGTGATGTGAAAGCATATGTTATGTGGATCATAAAATATGATGGATTGCTGTCAGCCTTACTAGGTAGACTAGACAGGAAACACGACCAGGTGAGCTAATTCTACTTTACTGTAAAGCTACTTTAACAGAATCTTGCAAGTCTGAAAGTACA